TGACATCAGCTGCTAATTTACATCGGCATCCTTACGCCAAGTCACTCACTTACCGTAGTCCCAAGCTTCAATTGATCTCTCTGCTTCAGATAGTTCCATAATTACACCTGACCACGAGCTACCGAAAGCTCGACACGTCGTCTGTGAATACTGTATGTGGAGATATCACGTGAAAGACACATAGACAATGGAATTCGAATCACAGATAACTGAAAACGCGAAACTGTTTGCACGTTAATTCAAGCAAGACGAAACGTTATGAACAGAAATGATATCATTTCTATCACGCCGTCATAGCGAAACTTAAGTAAACTTTTGACAAGGAGGAAAAGCATTCCAAATAAGGTCCCGAAAATCCTGAACGACGTCATGTTTCATACTTTTGTAGCTGAAAAAGCTGATGGCATCAGCCGAAAGCTGGTCCCGTATCAAAAGATTTTACGCTCTGAGAATAATTGATATATGCTTAATTATTTGCGCATTTAATTTTCAAGCGTATTGTACATCACATGAATGATGTTGATTTTAACATGCTTTATTTTCACGTTTTCTTATAAAACAACACTGACGATGTCATGCGCAAAGGTTTTGAATTTAATCACTCTTGGAGAAACGGCATGTTGAAATGATAGATTAGGCATGTTTTTTATCACTTGCCGGGAACGGAATTTTATAGTATGAGGCAGCTTCATTTAAGAACTCTTCGTTATCTTTTTGTGCGTCATATTTCATGAGCTGGCTGAAACTTGGATTCGCGAAACCAGAGGTGGAAGGTGTGGGCGAGCAGTCCGGTGGATCATTCAATTCCAGCTGAATGCGGTCATCTCCTCTGTTGCCTCTCCATATGATCCTCAGCTGCAGTCGTCCTCGTATAATCCAACTGAAAACGTCAGAAACTGAAACTTTGTTTCTGAAAGCCTGAAGGTCATACTTCAGTAAGGCAGATCGTTTCCACACAATAACAAGCGACAGTAATGCCATTCCGGTGATGAGCAAGAAGACGCCTAAAGCCTCTGCAAAAATACAAAAGGATGACGCACACTTTATGAGGGTGAGGTAAATGACGTGCCTAGTTTTGATGTAGCGTAGTTATTTTCTGATATTAGCATCGCCACAGAATTGCGATCTACATAAATGTTTTCTAAAATATTGTTTATAAAAATTGATCGCCTCGTCATAAACCATTTGCATACCGTCTAGAACCTTCGATTTGATGATGCTTGCGGCGTTTAACATGTGAGATTTGTCAAAGTGTTTGCTCGCGGGCACTATGACCAGTTGGTAGAAAAAGTTTTCAGAAACTTTAACCAGGGAAATTTCGATGCCGTCCTTTAAGGACCTCGAAACCTTCCTAGCAACCTCTTTTTCCATATCTTTTTGGACGAAGCCATAGCCGGTGGCAAACCTCATCAGCGCAGCTGAACAGTGCAGTAAATGCGAAATTTCTGCGCAATTATTTATTATTTACCGCATACGGGACAGCAGTGGCCTTTCGGTTTGACAGCGTTCGTGCACGAATGATCGGTCATGCATTTGACATTCGAGCAAATCTTATTCATCGTCTAAAATAATCGATGATCTGCTTATCTTCGAGACGCCTCTGTTGCTATTTACCGCCTCTTCCATATTTGGGTTGACGCAGCCTGACGGATCGCCACATGTTTCAGAGGTGATTTCAATTATTCTCTGGGCACTGTCCTCAGAATCGTCGAAACCAACGTCATGAGCAAGTGCGAACGCGGCACTCACGTTGAACTGCAAACTCCCTTCTTTGCTACTGACGTGGCTGAGAAACGACTGAATCGTTTGCTTCTAGACATAAGCACAGGATAGAACGGAAAATTAATTTGTAATTAATTTAAAAAAAAATAAATTTGATCACCACGTTTGAACAAACGTGCGCAATCTTCTGTCCTCGCGAACTATATCGAATAAATGGCTTACAAAATACTTAATTGCTTGACTATCATACAAATACAGCATCTATAAAGACTGAAGTATATGAATGTATAAAACTGCCTTCAGAGCAGAAGAGTGGTTGTCAGACTG